GGGCTCGAGGCGTCATCTGGCTGCGCCAGGCCGGCAGTTTCTTCTCTGCTGCCGGAAGGAGGCGAGGGTGGGCCGCTGGGGCCAAGATCATGCCTGACAGGGAGAGGTTTCTTGGGCAGCACAGGACGCTGGGCTTGGGATGAAGGAAGCGGGGCAGATGCAAAGTCTTGAGAGCGCGGAGGCCAGGCGGTCAGTCAGCACGCAGACCGGCAGCATGACCGGTGAGTGCCTGCGACCTGCTCCCGCCACCCCACCGTTTGCACTGCCTTGTGTGTCTCCCGCCTTGAACTTCCTTGCCCGCCCCTCTGCTCCTGGGTGGCTCATGCCCGAGCCTTGGTCATCCGGACCGCTCGGCTCTGCGGCCCTGGGTTTTGAAATCTCACTCATTGCCCCTACACTTCCTCGCAGGACCTAGACCTTGGATCTCGGAGTTGAAGAGCCTGAAAATGTCCCAAACCGCACTTTTACCTTGATTTCCAGATTCACCGAACGTGATGCGTTTTTGTATTTCGACAACTTTACCGCTCAAGGTCACCGCATGTTTAGGGCCGTGTTCTAATCAGTGCCCTTGTAGCCATGCCCCATCACAGTCCAAGGATCTCTGCAAGACGACGTCAGATGCGAGGACTTCTCACAACTTCCTTTCAATTGTTCCCATAGCTGCGTTTATTCGTTGTACCGTTGTTTTTTCCTGCCGGTTGAGGCCTGGAGAAAAAGGGCCCAACTTTTGAAAGTCCTGCAGGTCTCACCGAGTGAGGGTGAAGAGTCTGCTGCCAAGAAAGCTGATTCTCTTGTCCTGTAATCCTTTTTCTCGGCCTCCTGTTAAAGCAGCTGAATTAAGGCTATAACACAGTAGTGTTGAGCACTTCTACCGTTTCCATCATTAGTAGAATTTTAAAATGTTTGCGTTCTCATTTGTAGGTCAAATACCAAGACTTTCTAAAGTCAATTTATTCACTCTGCTCAGTCTCTGGATGGAGCTCTTCCCAGCAGAAGCCCAAAGGCAAAAGTCTCAGGTATAATTTGTTTCTGTAGTTTTTCCCCTTAGAAGAGCAATGGTCTAAAATTTTATTTTATTGCCCCAGTTTCTGTCACACTTAAAACCAAACTGAAGAAGCCTTAAGATTTGAAAAATAGGCTGACGCCTGTAATCCTACCACTTTGGGACGCCAAGGCGGGTGGATCGTCTGAGCTCAGGAGTTAAAGACCCACCTGAGCAAGAGTGAGACCCTCTCCCTAAAAATTGCCGGACGGGCACCTATGGTCCCAGCTACTTGAGTGGCTGAGGCAAGAAAATCACCTTAGCCCAAGAGTTTGAGGTTGCTGTGAACTATGATGCCACAGCACTCTACTGAGGGTGACAGAGACTATTTCAAAAAAAAGTTTTTTTGAAAAATAGCTTTCAGGGCTCAGCGCCTGTGGCTCAAGTGGCTAAGGCGCCAGCCACATACACCTAAGGTGGCGGGTTCGAATCCCCAGCCTGGGCCCGCCAAACAA